AGTTAAAAGTATTACATTTAATTGTACTCAAATTCTATTTAATTTTAAGTTTTGTTTAATTTCATTAAATTTCATTTTAATAGGAAAAAAACTGAATTGCAACAGAAGAAATTGCTAAACTTTAAATAAATGTTTCTTCACTACAAGAGCTATCATTTCCTAACGGGTGCCTCTGAGGTTATTAAAAAATTATGAAAACCACTAAAAGAATAAAGTAATTATGTACTTTTAAATTATGTTTTAATTTTAGATGGTATCAATTAACTATGAGAGACCAACACATTAAAACATCAGCATTTTCCTTCTTCCTCTCCTCTTTCCTCCCTCACGTCTAATTTTTTTTCTTAGGGTGATTATTGCTTTTACATTGTCAAATTTTAAAATTTGTCTGTAACTATAATTCCCAAAGATGCTTAAATTGCATGGACTTTTTTCACCACTGAATCTTTTGCCACAGAGTCTCTGTTCCTGGGTTCTTTATTTGATTGAGCCCTTAAATATAATATCTTGATATCACTTTTCAAGTAGTTTGGTTCTGCTGGGTACTATGTTTCTGGTTTCTCCAGGTCTGAAAATGTGCACTGGTTTCCTTTACACTTGCACACCATCTCAGCTGCGCATAGTATTCTTGGGACAACCTTTCTTTCTTTCAGAACTATGTAAATAATGATTGACAGTGCTTTGCCAGTGAATGGTACTGCGGAGAAGTGTGAAGGCAGTCTGATTCCCCAGCTGGTTCCTAGTTTACATTTTATGTCTAGATGACTAAACAGTTATTTCTTTTCCTAATGTTCAAATTAATTAAAATTCCTTGGCATTAAACATTCTGCATTAAATTACCCTGGAGCACAGATTATTCTTTTAGTGTATAGATTCAATTTTTCCTCAGTTAAGCAGAAATTTTTTCCATCATGAATGTATCTTCTGTTTCATTTGTTGGGTTCTCTATTTTAAGGACACCAGTTATACTTATGTTGTATCATCTTTGGTCTGCCGTAACTATGGAACTACTAGCTTTTCTCTAAATAAATTGTCTCTTTGTCTTTTCATTAGCATTTTCTTTGATTATCTCAAACTTTTCTTCTATGTCATTAATTTTACTTTTAGCAGTTATCTATTCTGTTTCTTACAGCTTATAATTTATTATTTGTTCTGTAATGTTATAACTTGATCCTCAATACGTTCTCTTTGGTCTGTGATCTCCTAAGAGATTGTGAGAAAGTTCTTTATGTTCCTTATTTGTTTTCTTCTATGTATGAATGATTTTTTTTCATGATCTCTCTCTGTCTCCCTCTCTTTTTCTCTCTTTTTCTCTCTCTTTCTCTCTCTCCACCATGCTGCTATTTTCCTTTTATTCATGCTCATATTTGCATAGCTCTTTTCCAGATATTTTATTTGCTCTAATAAATGAATGCCAGACTCTCCTCTTGATATAAAATTCATTTGATTTCTCCTCTGGGCTCCAAATTGAGGCCAATGTATTTCATTTTATGTACTCTTTAGTACTCTGAGAGAGATTAGAGTGAGGAAGGGAGTTTAGCTGAGGATATGGGCAATCTTTGCTAGAATACTTAGGCTCTGCTCTTTCTCTTAAGATTCCGTTAAACTTCTCATCCCAGAATCCACTCTCCCTACCTGGGTGTATCTCATTTCTATGGGGTTACTCTCAGGCCCAGTATCATTTTCTCATTGTGGTCCCAGAATCTCTGCCTTTATTAAGGTGCAGACACTTTTTCACTGGCTTCTTCCCCCATTCTGGTCAGAACAAGAAAAAGATCAGCATTTTGATTCAGTTTGTTTCTGTCCAGATTTTGATATATAAATGAGAAATCTCAGTATTGTGAGATTCTGGAGAACTGTGATTAGGGTTAGGAGCTGAGCCATGCTGCCTCTCTGCTGCATGCCATAATCCTCATCTTTTCTTGGCACCATGTTTTAAAGTGTATCGCATTGTGTTATGCCACTGAGGTTACTGATGGCAACTGAGCGGGTGGGGGAGGTTTTTCATTTCTCCAATTCCATAGGTATTATGGGAGAGCAATTTAGTGAAACCTTAATGAAGTTGAATAACTCTCCCTGTCCATAGTTCTCGGTTCATATTGTCTGCTTGACCACCAGTGACACAAGACCAAGAATGAAATCATTCTGCCACTAGTCAAACCCTGAGTTCATGGTAAGGTGTTAAAACAGCCAAATTCAGCATGAAAAAGGACCAGCATGCCCTTGAAGTGTCCCCCAAACATATCCTGTTGTTTAGGGAGGGAGATATTACTTTAACCCTTATATCTCTTACTAAAGACTCATCTCTCTGAGCTCCCCAGAAATCAATGTTGTAATTAGAAAACAGTAGCTAATCTGGCCAAATGCTAATAAATGAGAGTTGTGATTTATCTAGCAATAGGGGACCAGCTCAGCATTAACAATTAAAGAGGACAGAGCTTTTTTTTCTTACTCCTACCCTTAGCTGATTGAGTTCAGCCTTATGCTATAAATAGCCCTTCTAATTAATGGCTATCTGTTTGAAAATTAGTTATCAGAACCACGGTTTAGGAACCTTTACCTCTGAGATTCATAGAGCCTATTCTATTTCTCAGTGATAAAGGAATGGTAATGTGAGTTCAAAGCTGAATCTACCTACCCACAAAGACCAAACCACATCATAGCCCACCAAGACACTCTTTAGGCTTTATTATGATAGGTACAGACTTTTAAATAATCAATCCAACTGCAAGGAGAAGTATTAATCACGAATAGAGCTGGAACAGTTGGCTAAACCCTGCTATAGCCCAGTCATTTCATGAATCTACAGGCTACAGTCAAAGTTTGCATCAAAGTCATGAGTTCGCAATTAGCTGAGCAAGGTCTTTTAGAAACCTCCAAAGAATTATATTTTTCTACATTGGAAAAATTAACTGGGTAGTTACTAAAACTTTTCTTCACTTTAACCTGACTGGATACTGAGCCAAAAATAGTATGTCTAAATCAAACTGAATAGTGAAATCTTCTAGACAACACTCCCCAGAAGGGCCCTCTTTGGGAAACACTGCTCAGTGCTGGAGTAAAACTCACGTTTCAGTGGAGGGTTTGTCATTCATGGTGGAAAATGGCTGCACATCTTAGGTGTTTTCTTCTAGTATTTTCTATTTTATCCAATATTGCCTACTTACATGATACCCATGCAGAGCTCCTAGCAGGTCCCTGAACCTGCCATATTGTTTCACGACACCAAACATTTATTCAAACTGTTTCCACCATGTAGATGACCTTTTATGGTCAGCTTGCATGTCATCTCCTTTATTAAGCCCCCAACACCACCACCACACCACCCTCCAACCTGACAGGTCACTACCTCCTTTGGGCCTTCACTCTACCTGTGCATTTCTCTGTCTTAATACCAAGAACCTTTACTTCCTCTGATTGGCTTCTTGTCCATCTCTCCCTAGGGAGAAGCTCTTATTCTCATTCAGATGTACAATACTTCTTTACTTGTTGACTATACGAGTAATTATTGAACAACTATTGAGCACCAACTCTTTGCTAATACTTGCCAGATTCAGAAAGGCAAAAATTTTTTTCTCTGTTCTCAATGAACTCTTGAACCAGTGAGAAAGGCAGATTCCTCTACAACTAAATGCAGCAAGCCAAAGAGAAGGGTCTGGGCAGGTGCTGAGGCTGAGCTGTTAGCTGGGGGGCAGCAAACACATAAAAAAACTCACCCTATTTTAATATATCTCTTCCGTAGTTTTCATAATTCAAACAAACATGCTTTGACCATGTGTTTCACATTGCTTGCTAATGTCTTTTCAGCACAACCCCTACCTGTGCTTCTATACTGTGCACACAGATCACCTGGGGATCTTGTTAAAATGCAGATGCTTATTCATGAGGTCTGGAAGGGGCCTGGCATTTGACATTTTTAATAAGCTTCTAGGGGATGTCAATACTACTGGTCCACAGACCACACTTGAAGTAGCAAGGCTCTAAACAATTGTCATGTCAACTACGAAAATTGTTGAAGTGGTGCTAGTTTTTGGAAAAACTTCTACTGCTGCCCACCTAGACTCTTCTGACTATATTTAAAGGTGATGAAAGTTACGAGAGACGTAGATTCAGCAGTACCCAGAAAAAGCTGGCAGGATGCCTCAAAATATTACTTCTTGGCCTTTGTTTTATCGTCTAAAGATAAAAGGTCTTTGCTCCTGTATTTTAGGTGTTCTGCTACTAGATGGGTATAGTCTGAAGGCACAGCAAGTTTTTCCCAAATATTCAAGATCACCTTTCACTGCTAAGTTTCCTCCATATTTAAACCGTAACATCCCAGGCCCTTTATGTAAATAGAAATACCTTTTAACAAAGCTATAAAACTTTAATCACTTTAAATAAGCATAGAGTGCTTAAGTGAAATATTTTTTAAAAAACCAACTCTGTAAGATTCCCATGGGAATCTGTTTTCTTACTAACTCTTAATGGTTCTGACGACAGCGTTTGTTCACTTTTTCACTTTATTAAAGTCTGCCATTCAAAATAAAAGTAAAAAAAGCATTAGACCTCTACTTTCTCATTTGTCAGTTTCTCATTTGGAGTTTTCATTCCACCAAGACAAGATCCCTCCTTGGGTGCTTTCTTTTGCAGGTCTTCTTCCTCGTGTCATTCTCCAGCAATATTCCAGCCCAAACCAAGTGCGCTCTGTGGACTTTCCCCTAATCATGTGGAGGAGAGTTCACGCCCCCCCCCCCATCTGCTACTCAGCTTCACCTTACTACGATAAGATGCTATTTAAGAGGCAGTCTTGATTATTTGGTCTCCCCTCGCACATTTAGTTTTCTCGTCGTTTTCCTTGACAACACAACAATGAATTGAATAGAGGTAGGACTGTTTTCCCTGTGCAGAACATATGGAAGGCGCTAGAAAAGCCTTGTCTTGCCCCATGTCGTAGTCTGGAGAGAGAGGACTCTTCTAGATGAACTTCCTTCCTTCTCACTTCTCGTGGTGTCATTTAGGTTAATGCCAAAGATGATGAAGGTGTCCTCGTTGGATCCTGGGACAATATCTATGCCTATGGCGTCCCCCCGTCAGCCTGGACTGGAAGTGTTGACATTCTCTTGGAATACAAGAGCTCTGCAAATCCGGTCCGGTATGGCCAGTGCTGGGTTTTTGCTGGTGTCTTTAACACGTGTAAGTATCCAAGTGAGTGATTCTCTTTAATGTAAAGGAAATTTTACTTCAAGACATTTTATCTATAACCTGGCAAAGGGACTCAGCAGCCCCTGTTGGCACTTTAGAATTTGTGGGAGAGCATTCTGGGATGTAGTCAATGCATAATTAAGTTGTACTGGGCCAAATATGCTCATAGCTTCTCTCTGACTGCAGAATCTTTGTAGAAAGCATGACGGACTATTTCCCACATAATCCTTCATTCAACACCCAGAGAAAAGGAGAGTCACAGGGGCCATGTGAAGATGTAGGGGAAGATAAGCCATTTTCTGTTCGGTAACCACATTTGTAAAAGATTGAAATAGGAAAACCTAAAATAATAAATAATAAGAAAAGATGTATACTGCATGTTTGTTATTGAGAAGTTGTACAAATGCTTATTTGCTTATTTATTGTTGAAAAGTTTTGTAAATATATCTACTAAATTTTTGTCCCAGCTATGGAAGGGATTGTGGCATCTCCATTTTTACATGTGTCCCATGCCCCTGAGCAGTCAGAGACCAGAACGTAATGAACAGTCTCACCTCCCCCGCTTCCCCTCTAGTTTTTAATCTACCCAACATCCTATCTGTAGAGGAAAACATATGAGAACAGAATTATTCTCTCCAGCCTTGTGCATCATTTTTCAAAATGGCATTTGCCTCTCCAGGCCCAGACAATGTTGCAATTAATTCAGTGAATATTTTAAAAAATACATTTATTTCAGTATGTCTTCATCCTTGGTAATGATTTTCGTTCACATGCCATTTCTGCAGCCTTGAAGAAACATTAAGCTCAAGTTGGCATGTCCTTTCTGCCTGATCATTAATAAAGGTTTTACCTAGTTAGCATTTTTTAAATCAAAAAACCAAAGAGGGGCTGGAGGCTTGAGTAAGACCATTTTAAAAAATGATTATGAAACTATCGGTTTTAGCTCACAGTTGCTGCAGTCTAAGCCTTAGTCAGTGATCCAAGTAGGAGGAAAACATGAGTTTTGTTCCTTGTGGCATCAAACTGAATAAGGTTAGTTTCTTAGCTATTTAAATATACCTAAGGGCTAAAGGAATATGTATTTTCTGGAAGCAATAAAGATCAAAAGTGTGAATCTTCTAGAAGCACCGGTCTCTGAAGCTCCAGCTAGAAGCCTGAACTTCGTGTTGGGTTAAGGGCGGAGGTTGTCCCCTCCCTCAAGGCTCCCAAGCTGAGATCAGAAAGAAGCTGCCCAACAGAGGTGGCCACTCTTGTGAAATGATTTTAGGAAACCAGGAAGGACCCAAGCCCTCCCCAGGCCTACAATGGCACTATCCCAGTGTGATTCCTTCAGCCTAGAATCAGAGAAGGTAGTGAACACCTTACATGTATCTGTGCTTTTGGTATAAAAGGGTTATCAGATCTATGCCTGAAAACAGGCATCGGTGGTAAATTAGGAAAAGGCAGAAACACACTGTGGAGAAGTTGCGAGAGAGTAAACCCGAACAGGGAATTTGGGGGAAGGAGGAACTGGTGCTCCAAAGTCAAACTCTGCCTGTCTTAAAATTATGAATAACGTGGACTTTTGACCAACTCTTGTTTTGTAATAATGTGAATTAGCGTTCATCCAGAAACAGAACGAGAGTGGCAATTGTTTTATTGATAAGAGCAGGGCAAACAGGGGCTGCAAGTGAACAGAGGAAGGGGGAGAGGGAGGCGCATGGTGGCTGCCATCATTGTTTGAGGTATTAAGATCGAGTCCTTTAAGGAAGAGGACACTGGTGTCTCTACCAGACTCAAGTTTGGACTTCCAAGGTTATTCTTTTGAAGGAGGTGGGTAGTCTTTGGTTAAAAATGCTAAACTATTCTGAAGGAGAAAAAAAAAAAAAGGCAAGCCAAGTCATTAATCTTAAAATTGTCAGCCAAATTATTTTCAATGAGCCCTGATGTCTGGCGTCCCAGGAGCCAGCGAGGGCATTTGGATTAAGTTTAATCAATAGGTACATATGGCAAGAGATGTATCCAGGTAATTTATTATCTAACAATTAAAATGAATCTGTGGTGTCACCCTCCACTGAGTGTCACAGAGCAAATTCCAGCCAGGAGAGCAAATGCCACTGAGTACCTGCTCTGTAAATTCCTAGCTTCCTTTTTTGCTGGGCTTTAAAAAATTTTATTTTCAGGAACATAGCCCAATCACTGAACTAAGATGATGTTAATTTTATGATCATATGATTAGAAACTAAACAATTAGGACCCTGTTATTGGGATTCTATTCTAGTTGGCTGCATTTGGCACCAACTGCTGTTCTTACGCCAAAATCTCTTCTAGAGTCCCCATGGGGTTGAATGGTCACCCTTTTTCAGTATGAAACATTTGAGGACAACTTGTCCAAAGGGACTTTTCATGTTGGTAAAGAAGAAGGTCCCATACGAGAAGGGATTTCTCGCTATGTGTTTATTACATTTTGGTAATGTGTTTAGTTGTGCTCTGTCCTTGTTTCCTGCAGTTTTACGATGCCTTGGAATACCAGCAAGAATTGTTACCAATTATTTCTCAGCCCACGATAACGATGCCAACTTGCAAATGGACATCTTCCTGGAAGAAGATGGGAATGTGAATTCCAAACTCACCAAGGATTCGGTGTGGTGAGTTTGATTTATAAGGGCATTGGTCGATATCAAATTATAGTGACGTTACGCATTTACTACAAGATAGGCTTGGTCTAATATTTCTTTCCCTTCTATTTTAAGGATCCTTCAATAGCATAGGCAGAAATGCCTAATTGTCAAAATTTTTTTTTTAGCTAATGAATTAGAAATGTTACTGAACAGGTAGTTTGGGTTCTTAGTAATAAAAATCAATCATCCATTATAACACCAGCCACCAAAAAAGGCCATGGTTTTGGCTAATACATGTGCCTATACTAGTTCTCTTTACCTTAGCACATTAACATTACAGTTGGTGGCAGAAGTATTGGAGCCAAGCGCTCTCTGTCAGTGCCCTGGGAGTAGTAGAGCTAACGTTTATGAAGCATTTGCTATGTACCAGTCTCCGTGTGCGCATCGTCTTACCTAATTCTTTCAACAGTTTTATCAGGTGGGTGCTATTAAAAATCTCCATTTACAGAGGGGAAAACTGAGGCCCAGAGAGGTTTGCTCAGGGTCACACATCTGATAAGCTGGGTTAAAACCCAAGCACTTCTGACCCTTAACTATTAATACCACCTTTTTTTTTACCTCTGCAATATAGGATTGCTCTTTGAATGTAAAGATGAGGAAGGTTCTTCTTGATTGTTTCCTCACCTTTCATCCAGAGATAGAAATGGAAATAAAGCTGGAATCGTTTCCAAATACCAACCACATGGTCCTTTCACAGCCATGAATGGCTACATGAGATTGCTAGAGGGAGTTTAAGATCCCAAAGAAATTTCATTTTTCCTTGGAACTCCCCTCATTTCAAATAAAAACATTAAAAAGGGTGTGAAAATCCTGAATCCAAATTGGAAGGGTATTTATGAAGGTCTATAGGGGAGGAAATTGGGGCATAATTTCAGCTGTTGCCAGGCCTTGAAGTAGGCAGGATTTCTAAGCCAAAAATGTGTCTCATACCGTTGTTCTTTACAAATAATAAAGCTAAAACACTGTCAGCTGTAAAAGCATCCACATGGTGATGGGTGGAAGTTATAAGCTCATTTTAAGTCAAATTAAAAGTTAGAAATGCCTGGACTCCCCTGTGACTCAGGAACGGGTCACAGTTGCAGGAGCAGCAGTAACTCCACGACTGCTAAGTGCTCACTGGAGAATGTGGAAAGATGGGAATCGCTGAGCTAGTGTCAAAGTGCTGCAATGAATAAAAAATAGTGCAGTTCCTCGGAAGGGGACGAGCTGAGGGGTGAGCTGGAGAGCACTGGCAAGACAGAACCTCCCCTCTGCAAATTGAACCGAAATTGAAAGAACCGTTTAAGCCTGCGGAGCTACAGTACAGCAGCCCTGTGTGTATGTGGAATGACAAAAACAGACCAAAATAGCTGCCCCAAAAGCCCATTGTGGTAGTTAAAAATGGCAAAATGAGAAATATTTGGCATTCTCCACTCCACAGCCCTTCCTTACGCGCGCACACACACGCATACTCCCAATGCCTTTGGAGCCAGCTGCAGTTCGAAGTTACCCCTTGCTGCTCCTTGATTCAAATTCCTCCCTGTCCTAAGGCCCTGTGGGGCACCCAACAAACAGCCCCCCAGGCCCTAAACTGAATTGATACAAAGCTGTGCAGCTGCTAGATCTTGCTCTTGGTCACCCCTTCCTCTTCCAGCCCCCTGCTCTGAATGCTGTCCCTGACATCCTTGCTCTTTCAGTGCCTTCCTCAAACATTCCATCACCGGGGACCGTGCTCCCTGGTCTGGGGCCCTCACCCACCCTCCCCTGCAGACCAGTTCCCTGGGCTCCTCTCCTCTCCACTAGCTTGGCTCGTGGTAGGTTTTCAGTAAATGCTGGCTGACCAAGGGGCTGATGCCAGCCCAACTCGGGCACACCCAGACCATGCGGCACTGGGATTAGGGGATCAGTCAGGTCAGAGGCCAAGGCCTGGCTCTGCCACTGACCAGCTGTGTGACCTTGGGCAAGGCACAACCTCTCTGTGCCTCTTTCCTCCTCTAAAGTAGAGACAACGACATTCCCCACCTCCCTCAGCACAGAGCAGAACAAAACAGGTGTCTAATGAGTGTGAGCTGCTCTCATTGCCTTCGTTATTAGTCACACAGCTGGACTTTCGCGGAGGCAATGTGTTGGCATCAACCTAAGTACACTGAAGCAGTCAGAGAAAGAGGGGTGCCCAGTGTCCTAAGATGATTATACTATTTCTGTCACTTTGGGGTATTTTTAAAGAAAAAGCAGAAAGTTGTGCCTCCCTAGTACAAACACTGGTGTACCTTAGAAGCCATAGGTGTTCCCGAAAACCAAGCGTATGCCCAAGACCCTCTTGGGTTGAAGAGGCTGGTGGGAGCTGTCCTTGGACACATCAACCAGTACGTGGTCACCACAGCCACAACCCCATGTCAAGCTCCAACTTGGGCAGTTACTTGCTGTGTGGCTTTAAGAAAATGACTTCACCTCTGTGAACCGCAGCTTCATCAGTAGAATGAGGGTAATCTTAGTAGTTACTATTTCCTGATGGATGGCTTTAACAATTAAATGAGGTCATCCAGGTAGAGCACTTACCTCAGTGGTGCTTAGTGGCAGAAGTATGGGAGCCAAGCGTTCTCTGTACCGGTGCCCTAGGAGCTCTTCCTCCACTGGTAAGAAGTAGGGGCTGCCTGAGCTGCAGGGCTGGTGAGGAAGGTGAGGGTGGGGCCTCAAGGCTGAACAGAGGCTGGGGGGAGGGTGGGAGTGATTTGCTGACATCAGCTGAATCTCCTAGCAAGGGTCTTAGGAGCAACCGGCCTCCCCTAAAGCCCCAGACTCACCTCCCTCCACAGGCTCTGGCCCAACCATCCCCCGCAACCTGTCTTCCTCACTCCTGGTTTGTGTGTGGCTCAGGCCCCTCTCCTCCCCAAGGAAAGGTGAGCATGAGGTGCCCTCTCTCTCTCGGTCTCCGTCGCCTGTTCTTCAACACGTAGGTCACAGTGGTCCACAGTTTGTGATGACTTGATTTGTCCAGTTAGGTCTCAGTGACCCAGGATGTCCTCTTTCCTCTTCCCCATTGACTCAGCCAAGCCCCCCCTGTGCCAAAAGCAGAAGTCAGCCAGGAGGGCGGTTCAGAGGGAGAGCTTGGCAATGTGCAAGAGGGTTGATTATGCACATTACACTCCAAAGCCGGGAGTGACAAGTTTGGATTGGTGCTCCGACACCTCTCCCCTTCTTACCACAGACCATCGGGGACAGACTGCTTATTTTCCTACTTCCTGGTTTCCCACCCTAAGTCCCCTGCATGTTGGATTTTCTCCTCCGAGAGAGCCTCACCTCACGGGGCTGCAGTTTTGCACGGAGCACACCCACTGTCAATGCCAACGGAGGCCACAGCCTGGGCTCCTTAGCTGTTCAGCGGAGGGATGGGGCAGAGTAATTGGACCCCAAGGTAACAAATGAAATTCCAAGTGGGCAAAGCAAGGTAACAGATCCTGGAAGGAGCAATTTCGGCCGCCTGTCCCCAGTGTGCTAACGGGTTCTGAATTATGTGTAACCTCTGGGGGAAGGCAGCTATGAATCACTGTGGACAGTTTAATGAAGACGCTTGCTCAGTGTTTAGCTGCAAATAGCGAGCAGCAATATGAGGGCTCGGTGAGGACGGAGAGTCAGGACTCACTCGGGTGGGTGGGGGGAAGATGGTGGCTTGGCCTCGCCTCAGAAGAGCTCAGCTTGATCACCTCATTATACAGAGGTCACGCTGGAAATGGAAACAATTTTAAAAGACAGAGATGGTGGCACTTACTAGGTTCATGAAAGATTTTTCAGTGAAAGGCTTCGCTCCTTCTAAAAGAAAGCATTACCCTGTGTCCTTCTGCTGGAGCCAGCGTAGTCTGATGGAGTGATTCTGGGTGGAAGATGGTGCCCTCCCCTTGGTTTGCCCCCACCAGAATTCATCCCGACACGGGGGGAGCGGTGTCCGATCTATTTTATTTTCGTTTGTCACATGGCAAAACATGTGGCAGTGTGCAGGGCATAGAACACTGAATAAATGGTATTAGTTGGAAAAATTTAAAAATGAAAAAAAAAAAAAAAACTTTGCCGAAATGGATAGTCTTAATCTATAAATAAAGCTCTTTTGAAGCAAATTTTAAAGCATAAATTAACCAGTTTTCACACCCAGGAACCTGCCCTAAGCAGCATGCAATACTAACCCTCCTTGCACCGTCGGTGCTCATGGTGGTTCACACATTATAGACACATTTTTGAAATTCAGACTCTTCCACCTTTACGTTATTTTAGATGCTCTATATGATCCAGCTAATTGGACTTTTATATTGTTAAATTCTCTTCAGTTTTAATCACTGTCTGTGAAACAGAATGACCTGAAAATGAATTCCAAATAAAATATTATAGAAGAAAAATTCTGAATGTAGGCCAAATTGCTTAAAGATTCTTAAGGGTTTATAAAATTATCCTATGATGCATTCAAGTTACCAATTCTGGACAGTTATTGAAGATACTTCTTTTCAAACATTATCTCATTAACCACATTTCTGGCCAAGTTGGTTTTTGGAAGTCACCTGGAGCCAGACCATGAGCTCTATCATTAGAGAACTAAAAATACACATTGAATGCACACCAGGATGTTGAGAAAAGAATTGGAAAAGCTATTTGCCACCTTCAAAGAATAAAAATAGCTCATATTTATGAAATACTTTCTTTGTATCAGGCCCTGATCTAAGTGCTGACATGTATTACCTCATTTAAGTCTTTTGATGGCCTAAGAAGGCAATTACTATTATTGTCCTCGTTTATAGATGGAGAAACTGAGGCACAGCAATTTAACCAACATCCCAGTGAGTGGCAGAGCCTGAATTACAGACCCAAGGGGGCTGACCCTAGAGCCCACTCTTTTTTTAATAACATCCTTATTAAAATATCATTCATATACCACAAAATTCACTCTTTCAAAATGCAGAATTCAGTAGTCTTTAATATATTCATGGTATTGCGCAACCATC